CTGTGTATTTTGGACAGTAAAAAGGATGCGGTGAATTGCTTTTAATTTGTAGAAAACATTCAAGAGGGAGGGGTGAGTGGTTAGTGATTATTGGTTATTGGTCCAATACCTTTTGGTAACTGATAGCCCTTCTGTTTGCAGTGTGTGCTTGTTTCCTCCACGTGTTCATTTGTTTCCTCCCAGAATTCCTCCTTCCTCCCACAAGTACAATAACATGCAGATGCTAGAGTGACTGGTTGTTTATCTCTACTATATTTGGCCCCTCAACAGCCTGGTGAGGTGTCCAGGGTGTACCTCGCCCTCGCCCAAAGGCTGATTGAATTGGCTGCAGAATGGAGCTTTGGAAGATGTATGTATGACTGGCAACATACAGAATTCCCAGAAACCTCTCTGCTGCAGCTAGACCTGTATTGAAAAAAATATTGTCTGTCAAGTGTTAAAACCTAGACTACAACTCACCTATAAAACCTCTGTGCATGCATACGTGCATGTTTGTGTGTGATAATATGTCCAGCAACTAGACCAGGCATGGTTCAAACTACGGCACGGGGACCGGATGCAGCCCGTTTGGGCTTTTTAATCCGGCCCGCCAAATGATTTGTTTAATTTCTCGTATCATTATACATCTGCTTTTTCCCTTGCAATGTCCTCATTTCCCCAAAAGATGGCACAGAAAAGGCTAAAAGCATTATTAATTTCTCGTATCATTATACATTATACATACATTATACATTATACTTTTTCCCTTGCAATGCCCTCATTTCCCCAAAAGATGACATAGAAAAGGCTAAAAGCATTTAAGCATTTTAGCCTTTTTGAATGACTTTTACCTGTCATTTGTCTTAGTTCACATGAACGTGCCATCTATCTGTTCCTGAACCCCCCACCCACCCACCGCTGACGAATTTTAGGACCCAATATTGCCCACGAGTCAAAAGTTTGCCCACGTCTTAGCTAGCTTTTTTTTTTTTAGTTTGTTTAGATTGGTGTACTTGACGATACCAAGATATACCCAATTTTTTTATTTTTCACCAGT